GTCGTCAACCATTACCCCCAGAAATTTGATTTCATATACTCGTTCAATGTTAGCACCCCCAATTCTCACTTGAAGTTCATTATGTGGTCTACGGTTCCCAAATACCATATATTTAGTTTTCTCTAAATTCAAAGATAGTAAATTATTATCACACCATTTCTTTATCTTCCCAAATTCCTCTGAAACCCTTACAGAGAGTTGCTGTAAGTTTTCATCTGATGCCCAAATGGTAGTATCATCGGCAAACAAAACCATTTTAACAGTTTCAGAAACCTTACATATATCATTGATGTATAATATAAATAGTTTAGGTCCCAACACAGAACCCTGAGGCACTCCACACACAATGTCCAGCTCACTCGATTGGTATTCACCCAACTTCACAAATTGACGCCTCTGTGTCAAATAACTTCTGATCCATTTCCAAACCATTCCTCTGATCCCATATTTTTCTAACTTGTCCATTAATAATTCATGATATGATGCACTTAGACATCCATTATCTATACTGGGGGGCTGGAGCCAATCCCAGCTGACATTGGGCAACATGGCAGGGTACACCCTGGACAGGTCGCCAGTCTGTCACAGCACTTAGGCATGTAGTCTCCAAACATATAGCATTGTGATGGTTTTACAATATTTTTGCTCATGTTTTATGTTTTACTTTTCCTGTCAGGATAAAAGCATTGAGGAGCAGCTTTCGATGGGGATCCGGTATTTTGACCTCCGCATTGCACACAAACCCAATGACTCATCCAGCAACCTGTACTTCACACATGTTATATACTCACATGTAACAGTTTTGGTGAGTTTAATAAAATTAGATGCTAAAGTTTGAGCTTTTATAGCATGTTTTCAGTTAAATATCCTTCCTTTACAGGAAACACTTATGTCTGTTGCCACGTGGCTGGAGTCTCACCCAAAGGAGGTTGTTATCCTTGACTGCAGCCATTTTGAGGGAATGGACAACGAATGCCATGAATCATTCATTTTCTCCCTGAAGATAGTGTTCGGCTTAAAACTCTGTCCCCGGGGGGTCAGTTTTCTCTGTGTGCAGCTGATTAACCTCAGAGGAATGACACTGTGCCTTATCACCTCTAACCTGCCCTCAACAGGTATCAGTCCTGACCTTGCGGAGTCTGTGGGCATCTGGTTACCAGGTCATCCTGTCCTACGACTCCCAGACTGCAGCAGCACATCAGGAGCTCTGGCCTAACATCCCCTACTTGTGGGCCAACCAGCGCACAGCACAAGGAGTGATCAGCTACCTGGACTGGAACAAAGATATGGGCCGTCCAGGTGAGTTTCATTTACACTCTACCTGATATTCACTGTGCTGATGTGGGAGTGTGGACAGTGGAGCATATAATGTTAGCATGTATTAAATCTTTTTCCCGGTGCATTTTCATGAATATGCAAGTCTTTCTCCAGAGGGCTTCTTCATCTCTGGCCTGAACCTGACAGCGGACAGGTGTTACATCACCAAGAATCCAAAGCAGTCCCTCCGGACGCTGACTTTCAGTAACTGGGAGTGTTTGAAGAAATGGGTGGAGGAGCAGGTACCTGGGTCAGACCACAAGAGTATAAACATCATCGCAGGAGACTTTGTGGGGCCACTTCCACTCTGCTCTCTGGTCATTGCACTGAACCAAAAACTTGTCTGGAAGAACAGCAGTCAGATAAAAAAACTGACTGCATCCAAGTGGAACTGAAGCCAAAATAGCTACTGTATACCTCCTTTTCTCTCTTCTGTTTCTGTCACTATATATACTGTTTTCTACAATAAGAGTTTTAAGTTAATGAAAAAGTTTCTCTCTCTTCCATGTTACAAGTGCTATGGATGAGAAAAAATATACGATGGGGATATTTATTGACCTAAAAAAAGCATTTGATACAATCAATCATGAACTATTAATGGATAAGTTAGAGAAATATGGGATCAGAGGAATGGTTTGGAAATGGATCAGAAGTTATCTGACACAGAGGCGTCAATTTGTGAAGTTGGGTGAATACCAATCGAGTGAGCTTGATATTGTATGTGGAGTGCCTCAGGGTTCAGTTTTGGGACCTAAATTATTCATATTATACATTAATGATATATGTAAGGTTTCTGAAATAGTCAAAGTGGTTTTGTTTGCTGATGATACTACCATTTGGGCATCTGATGAAAACCTACAGCAACTA